CCCCCAAGAACAAGAAAAATAAGACCCCAGGACCAATGATACCACCACCACCAAGACTAACGACACCACCAGTGGTGATGCGAGCAAAAAGAGTAAAAAGACTACCACTGCAGAAAATTTGAGAGCATTTTATGCTTGGCGCAAAAAACAAAAGTGGGGAGCGATCCAAAGCCCCACCCCGACACACCCAAACCCTGGTATAAGGGAAATATAAACCCAGTAACGGGTTTAAAGCATAAGAACACCTGGTCATATGAAGCTAGGTAATGGCCATGGAGGTTATAGTGATATGAAAAAAAATAATATTTTTTTATTTGTATATTGTTGTTCCGGCAACAATTATTATGAAATAAAGAAAGGGTCTCCTAATTTTTTATTTTTACATGATTTTTACAATGTAATTCTGTCTTCTCGCAATTATTTGCTCGAAGCCAGGGAGTAGGTGGTCACTTTTGAACCCATAAAAACAGAATTCAGACTCCGCGATAAAATCACGAGAAGGCGAGTGGAGACTATTGAGTTAACCTATGCTCTTACGGTTACTACTGGGATTCCAGTATCGCGTGTTAATATGCGCTAATTAAATAATCAGAATTTTTATAAGTTTTTTTCCTGCTACAGTACTTAAATCATTGTCGTGCAGATCGTAAAAGAAAGGCGGGTTGAAGATAAGTCTTCTGCGTAATCATTATATAAAATATACGCAGAAGACTTATCTTCGAAGGTATGTACTCACTATCATCATGTGAAAGTGCCTGGTTCAAAGAACCTCTTTGGCCCGGCTCTAATTGAGCAACGATATGGGTAAGATTTTCCGGGACGGGGCCGTCTCAGAAAAATGCTAAAAAATACTCATATACAGATTAATATATATCCGCTACTTTTTGCAATCAACATCAGGTTAAATTTATCTCCCGAAACCTACACTTTTCTGATGTAAGCATGGGATCAGCGTCAGGTTAAATTTATGGTAGAGTCTGGACACGGTATCCGGGCTCGCGCAGAAGAAATGGCCCAGTACCTTCGGGATAATCTAAACGTTTTGAAAAATTATTTTCCGTGATGTTCGGCAAAAAGTACCTTATATTATATTTAGCAGTGATCATTGACGTATGCAGAACACACTTTAAAATAAAACCCGATATGTATTTTTAAACATATACGGGGGTCCCTTAAAGCGGGGCAGATTTCATATAATGATCTACATACTGCATAAATTGTATTCTTGATATATAAATAA